GAGAAAGCAAAGCCAGGAAAGCTCTGGGATTGGATAAAAAGTAAAATGAGAGACACTGGCTTAGGTGGGTGCAGGACCAATTAACATGATAATGAAGTAATTTGTGGTCTCTCTCCTGGGGCCCAGGCACATTAGGTTGTGCCCCAAGGGGTCTGGAGAAAGGGAAGTTACAAGTTACCCAGACATTGCAAGGGTATGTTATTATAGATGCAGAAAGACAGGGTTAGTTAAGGTCAGGTTGACCTTGTCAGTGAAGATACCGGCCTAGGACGTACCTACCCACCATAACTGCTTTTAGTGACAGTTTAATTTCAGACCATCCTTTTTTGGTTACTTTAGGTCTCTGAGTTTGCAGGACCGCCACACAGGCCTTTCCTGAGCTGATAGGTTAGCATGTAGCCCCTTTTGTCCACAGTTCTAAGCCCAGGGGGGACCATGTGCATGTTCCACTGGGAATGACGATGGAGCTCAGACACATTTAAGTTCTTGAGTAAAGAATTCACAGCAGCCTCACATGGTGGGTGTTGCCATGGTATGAAGCCTTTTGCTGAAAAAGCACGTTGGTTTCTCATGGGTCTACACCTGTGTCAGGACTCCTGATCATGTGTTATTGACACGGAATTCTTGACTGGAACCCGGATTCTTTGTCTGCCAGAGTCGAAGAATGAATTCACAAACAGAAGGTGGTGTAGCAAAGGTGGAGATTTATTGAAGAACAAATACAGACTCCCACGTGGGGAGGGGGAGAAGGTCCCACAGCCGTCCTGTTTCCATGGTTTATAAAGACTGCAGCTCTATGTCCTTATATCCCCTCTGACTAGTCAATATTCCCTTCGAATTGGTTACTATAGTGACTCCTGAGGCCCTCCCCCCTCATTGTCCTCCTATTCCTTCTGGGCTTTCTTCCTTCTTCATTTTTTAAATATAGACCTTTTTTGGCAACTTCCAGTTCCCTTGTCTTATGGACATACACCTTCTCCCAGTCTGCAACCCTGTGTTTTTTCCATGGACCCCAATTCTAAAAATTACCTAAACCTGCCTATATTCCCCTAAAATTCCTGTTTCATTATCACTTTTCCTGGGCAGAGCCTGGGCGTCAGGTTTTAGGTTGATTCTTAGGTGTTTCTCTGTGTTTATGCCTCGAAGGGGGTTGTTTTTCTTTCTAAATGCGTTTTCCGACTGGTTGGTGCTGGTATACCAATTCGTGTCCCACTCTGTCTTTCCAGATTCTTTAGGATTTTCCATGTGAATAATGACATCATCTCTGATTAGAAAAGCGGGCCTCCTCCTTGCAGCCTCAGGGTGCCCAGGGTGGCCCCTGTAGGTGACATACCGGCCCCTCCCCCGCCAGGATGCCCTCCAGTTCCCAAATCTGCTGGGACCCTGGGGGACCCATGGGGCCGGTCTTCAGGCCACACTCCCTGGGGCCAGGCTGGCCTTGCTCTCTCCCTTATTAACTGTGCTGCCCCCTGCCCTTTCCTTCCTGGGAACCGCCCAGAGCCCAGCGAGTTCAGCTCTTCAGGCCCCGCATCCAGGCCCCAGGGTCACTCCTTCCTGACAGGGAGCCTGCGCCCGCACCCCCCACCCCCTCACTTGCTCACCCAGCGGCTCAGATGGGGCCGAAAAGGAAAACCCGCCCATGGGACAGTCTTTCCTCCTTCTGGGCCACAGTCAGACCTTAAAGCTGTGAGACATGCTCAGCTTTGCGAATTCAAATAACGGACTTGGGGGCAGGAAGCAGGGCCCAAAGGTCCTCAGGGCGGTGTCTGTGGGCAGGAGGCACAGAGCAGGGATCACAGGGAACTGTATCCTATTGGAGAGGGTCCCTCCCCCGTTCCTCATTGGCTGAGGACTATGGGGCTCACCTTCTCTCAGGCTCCTCCCCTAGGCCCTGCTGTCTACTATTGGGCTATTTAAATACATGGGAGGAGGCCTGTCCTAGTGTCTCCACCTCCCTTTGTCCAGGTAACCTTCCTGGGAAATGTGCTGCTGGTCACTTGCACAACCCTCACCCCTCCACCCCCATCCTGTCTGCCCTGGGAACTTCAGGAACCCACTGGCCACAGGCTGTCTTCTTTCTAACAGGTGACTGAGCTGAGGGTGGACCACAGAGGCCTGTCTCCTGCAAATTGAAGCAGGAAAACCCCCAGGAGGGTGAGGACAAGGGCGCTGCACTTGCCTTTCAGGGGAAACTGGGCTCCCCGCCCACTGGCCCTCTGTCCCCACCAGGGAGGTTGGAGGGGCCCCTCCTGTCCACACTCAGAGCCTCCTGTCCCTGCGGGCAGTGGGGCTGCCTGAGGCCTCCTGCAAGGGCAGGTGCAGGTTTGCGGAGCTGCTTTGGGCGGGTTCTCACAGCCACCCCATTGGTCCCTCTGCAGCCCAAGGCCTGAAAGGGTGCCCTGCAGTGGGCACAGGCAGGGCCTGTTGTGACCTCCAGGTGCCCACCTCCACCCACTGACTGAGCAGCCTGGAGACTGCACCCCGCTGCCCTCCTCTCCCGGCCCCAGCTGTGCCCAGGGACCAGCAGGGGACAGAGGCCCCACACACTGAGCTCACCTGCAGGGATCTTGGTTGTGCTGAGAAGGGGTGACGTCCCCTGCCCACCCCAGGGATGCAGCCAATGGTGGGATAGTCAGCCTGTGTGTGTGGTCAAGCCCAGAGGGTGGGCGGAGGACGCCCTAAGCAGGGGGCTTCGGGTGTGAGAAACGCTCACCTTTTTGAATTCAAATAACAGACACTGAGACAGAAGGAATGTGAAAACGAGCCTTTTACTATGTTCTTCCAAGAGGGGGTGTCTGCTTGTACAGGCACACGCGGAGCAGCGATCACAGGCTATTTATCCCTCGTCCTGTCTAGTTTGAATGCCTCTGGTTGGAGACTTCATTCTTTGATTCCTTGAGACAAGACCCGGGAAGAATTCCTGCTACAGGCTCTGGTATCAGTGTAGAGTCCCTCCTCGGGTTCCTCAGTGGCCGAGTACTATGGGCTTCATAGTTTCCTCAGACGTGGCCTAGGTCTCCTATTGGAGCATTTTAAAAAATGGGCCCAGGCCTTTTCTAGTTGTCTCCACCTCACCCCGTAGGAGGCTGTGCCATCCTGGCTCTGGTGCACAGTTCTTTGTTCTTATAGCCTCTTCCCTCCTCCCGCATTCGCTTTGCCCTGGGGACACTCAGTAACCCTTTCCAATAAAAGTTGACTATGCTGGGGTGGATCTCAGAGGCCTATTTCCTACACTGGGAAACTCCCTAAGCAGAACCTCGCTTCTGTGACTCCTGTCAGAGCCATTATTCTTTTATTTATTTTCTAAAATATTTTTTGTGTTAATCCTCACTGAGTGTATTTTCCCATTGATTTTTAGAGAGAGTGCAAGGCAGAGGGAGAAACAGACAGAAACATCAATGTGGGAGAGAGAGAGACATCATTCGGTTGCCTCCTGCACACACCGCAGCCAGGGCTTGGGAACCTGCAATGGAGGTGCATGCCCTTGATCAGAATCAAACCCAGGACCTTTCATTCTCCAGGCCGACACTCTATCCACTGAGCCTCACCAGCCAGGGCAGGAGCCATTGCTCTTTGCAGACTAACCACTGGGGTCACTTTAGAAGGAAGAGCCTCTATGCATCCACCTGGCCATTTGGTGTCTCGGCTGCTCCTGCCCCTGCTCCCTGCAGAGGTGCCCTCTAGTCCCCAGCTCCCTGTGCTCAAGGTGAGGCACCTCATCAGGAGGCAAAACGCAAGCCCAGGCCTATGTCCTTCCCCTGTGAGTCCCCTGGGCTGAAGACCCTCACCTGCGCCCTCTGCTCCCAGGTTTCCCAGCTGCCCAGTTCTGAGAGCCACTTGGTGTATGTCTGACACACAAGTGAAGTACAGTAACCTCCATCTTGTATAAAACTGCTGTTTGAATTCTCTGCTATTGTTAGATAGTTCCTAGTCCTGTAAACTCTGTCATTGTAAACTCTGTCACTTTAAGACAGTCTCTTATTCTATAAAATGACTTTGTTTTTAGTTCAAATAATAGAAAAAGATAAACTTAACTAAACTTAACTGTCTGACCTTGCAAGCTAGCCATCTAAAGGGGCTGATACACTGATACTGATATTAATTCACACATTCTGCCAAGTGTTTGTTCATCCAAGGTTACAGGTGTCTATATAGATATGATATGTACTCAAGGTTACAATCTGTCTTACACAAAAAACTAGAAGGATATAAAAAGGAAATACTCCCTCATGTGTTTGCTCAGAATTTGACAGAGGTAATTTGCTCTGAATCTGCATGCAATAAAGATGACTCCTAACTAATTGGCTTATTAGGCATCTTGTCCAGCTCCCGATTTGCGATATAACACAAGCACCTGGTGTTTGACCCCAGAACACGGGGACAGGGCCTCTGTCTTCTTCATTGATTTGTCCTTGTTGCCTAGAGCAGTGGTCGGCAAACTGCGGCTCGCAAGCCACATGCAGCTCTTTGGCCCCTTGAGTGTGATTCTTCCACAAAATACCACGTTCCGGCATGCATGTAGTGCGATTGAAACTTCATGGCCCATGCGCAGAAGTCGGTATTTTGTGGAAGAGCCACACTCAAGGGGCCAAAGAGCCGCATGTGGATCACGAGCCACAGTTGGCCGACCACTGACCTAGAGGGATGCTGGAGTGTCACAGGCCCTCAGTGTTGGTGGAATGAATGAATGAATGAATGAAGTCCAATCAATTAATGTGGGTGAACAGGCTCTGGAATTGGTGTAAGGTCCACAACGCCCACACCCAGGGGCCCCCATCTGAGCACACTTTTCTGTGGCCCCTGCCTTGGGTCCCACCTGCCCAAGGACCGGCTCTGGAGAAATCTGGCTGCAGAACTGGGGTCCGTGCCTCAGTGGGCTGTGTGCACCCGGGGCCTTATATCAGTGAGTGATGCTCAGGCAAATGCCAGGCGTGGCTTCCTGTGTAAATACAGCCTCCACTGGGGACGCAGAGCCTGCTGAGTCTGGCTGACCCAGGGACATGGCTGTCTGCTTCCTCGTCTTCCTTCCTGTGCTGGGAATTCCCTGGGGTCAGTGTCTGGGTATGTGGGGTTTCACAGCATGTTCAGAGACGTGGACTGATTAACCTTGTTGCTTCCTTCTGTCCCAGGTGTCCTGTCTCAGGTGCAGCTGCAGGAGTCAGGCTACACGGTGGTGCAGCCCTCGCAGACCCTGTCCCTCACCTGTGCCATCTCTGGGGACAGTGTCTCCAGCAACAGTGCTGCTTGGAACTGGGTCAGGCAGCCCCCAGGGAAAGGGCTCCGGTGTCTGGGAAGGACCTTCAATTCCAAGTGCTACAGAGAGTACGTGCCATCTCTCCAAAGTCGGTTATTCATGGACCCAGACACGTCCAAGAACCAGTTCTCCCTGCAGCTGAGGTCTGTGACCACCGAGAACACTGCCCTGTATTACTGTGCAAGAGACACGGTGAGGGGAAGTCAGTGTGAGCCCAGACACAACCCTCCCTGAGGGAGGGCAGCAGGGCTGGGCTGCAGGAGGCACTCAGGACACCAGGGGGCGCTCAGGACCAGCACAGGGACCAGAACCGGAGCAGGTGGAGAGTTAAGCAAAGACACAATTTATTGTTCCATCTTAAATTACCTTTACTTCAAAGCTCAGCAACAGAGCTCACAGAAGGCCTTTTCTATGTCTGGTTTAGGGATTGTATTTATGATCATAAAAGGGGCTCTGTCTTTATTCTGACATAATCCAGGGACTGAAAGGAACCTCCCAGGAGCTCTGATCACACATTCCTACCTGGGCAGTCCTGGGGGTGGGCCCGCCAGGATTCTTTACTAAAAGGCTCTTTACTAAAAGGCTCATCTGTCCCTTGAGCAACCCCATCCATTGCTCCTGTGCATCTGGGTTGACACACCTGTGACATCAGCATGACCACCCTCAGGAGAGCACCTCTTGGTAACTGTCCTGTCACCCAGTCCCCGCCTCCCTTTCTCCCACCTCCATGTCACCTTTTCACCTTCCCGCCTTAACTTCAAATGCATAAACACAGCTGCAAATGGTTGTTCTCCGTGCATTTGAGGTTTTGCTTCCCAACAGTTGTCAGTCTGGCTCCAATAAAATCTTGTAAAACATTCTCTCCATGTTTGGACATTTCTTACATCAATATATCGTCTTTTCTTTATTTACAACATACGTTCATACCTGCTTCTTCCCCGTCTGGAGAGGGAAGTGCACACAATTATTAAAAACCTGCGACCTCGCCAGGATGAGGTCTAAAGAGTTCCCGTGTGTTGGAGGGAAAACAAGTTTGCTGTTGGTTGTCATGGACGTCAGGTTCCCTTCCTTAGGAATGAGGCCTCTCCAGCTGTGCCCATCTCCCCTGTGACACGTTTCCAGGTTCCCTGGGTGGGTGAAATGGCATAAAACCCACAACATACGTGAACCACGTTGACGTA